ATATATATATATATATATACGTATGTAATACGTTAAAATATGGGGTCAGTAAGTTATTCAACAAGGATACATTAAATTGATCAATAGTGACAGTAAAGACTTTTACTTTGTTACAAAAGCATTCAATTTCAAATAAACAATGTTCTTTTGAACTTTTTTTTATTCTTTAAAGAATCTTGGGGAAAAAAAATGTATCACAGTTTCCACAAAAATATTAAAGCTGCGCAACTCTTTTTATCACTGATAATCAGAAGTAAGATCTCTGCCTGCCCTTAAAGCTGCAGTCCGTAACTTTTGGCGCTCTAGCAGTTAATAAATAGAACTGCGTGCATCTTGCGGAAGAACATTGTAGCCGGAGCTATTTCTCTCTGTTTATGTCTATGACAAATCACGCCGGTACTGGGCTACTCTGCAGCGGTTCCACCAGTGCCACTCTGAAATAGTCCGAATATAAAAACTTATTATTGTAGTGATTCAGGATAAGCCAAAAACACGGTTTGGAAAATGGATTCATGATGTGCTCACTTGGTAAATTTTGAACACAAAAAAAGTTACAGACTGCAGCTTTAAGCAGCCCTTTATTGATAATAATAATAATAATAGTTTCTTAAGCAGCATATCAGCATATAATAATATTTTGAAAATTTAGTATTACATCACCGGAATAAATTACATTTTTAAATATATTAAAAAAATAAAACATTTTAAATTGTAACAATTTAACAATATTACTGTTTTTTTTTAATGCATTCTTTTTTTCCCCCAAAACATTAAAAAGACTTACCAACCCCAAACGTTTGTCGATAGTATACATTATTCAAATCTAATGTAATAATATACAAAATATATGTCATATACAGTGGTGTGAAAAAGTGTTGGCCCCCTTCCTGAAACCACAGTTTTAACAGGGGGGCAAACACCTCTTCACACAGGGCCATGTCGTTTTGGATTTTGTTTTCCCTTAATAATAAAAACCTTCATTTAAAAACTGCATGTTGTGTTTACTTGTGTTATCTTAGACTAGTATTTAAATTTGTTTGATGATCTGAAACATTAAAGTGTGACAAACATGCAAAAAAATAAGAAATCAGGAAGGGGGCCAACACTTTTTCACACCACTGTATATTATTATGTCTATTTTTACTTTTATTAAATTTGTATTTACTCGTTTAAATTTTCAGAATGCCCCTGAGAGAGTTCTTCAAACTCCTCGTGTTCTACAAAGGTATTTGATTTCGATGCAGTAGATTAAGTATATTTTCCAGTCTCTGTAATGTTTCTAACCGTCTCTCTGGTTGAACCCACAGAAACTGCAGCACTAAAGACCTGACACAGTTCGCCGCTGATGCTATCGCGTTCAATCGGCAGCTGTCTCAGAAGGAGGAAGAGCAGGAGGACTTTGGTGCCATGGTCTGCTCCATGAGGCTCTCCCCTCCATCTAACTCTAGATTAGCCCGTCGCCGAGCACAGTCTCAAGCACTACGCACCAATACCTGACACCTGCCCACCCGACAGGTGCTCCGGTTATACTCATGCACACCATAGTGCGTTATAAGCCTTCATACGCATACATTCTCTGGTGAACTGAATGGGTTCTTGAGCAAACACACTCTAACCTTGGCTAACACACATGTATATGCATTACAGGCTTAGTGCTACCAACTTTTAGCACAGACTAGCCTTATATATACAAACCAAAAACATCCAGACGGGGGGGGGGGGTGAACAAAGGCTTTCTGTAGCGAATCGATGTGTTTTTGTAAGAAAAATATCCATATTCAAAATGTAATAATCACTTGAATCTAGCTTGCGCTCACTGTTGTAAACAGAAGC